CTTTTAAAAGTACAAAATAGTTAAGATTGACGTAACAGTTGCTTTATTTATCTTGAAGAAGAAATTGATTGTTTGGACTTAGCTTTATCATGGTTCCTTCTGTATATAAGATATACAATAAAACCGATCATAATTAATCAAGGTCAATTCTGGCCTTAATTGACTGGAATTTTTGAATTGCATCACGTATACAATTGGCTCTGTCTACCTGGTAAAACCAATTTTAATTAATTCAGGTGAATTCTAGAACGTAGAAAGGTTAGTAGCGCGACAATTTAGTAAAGCCGACAGTACTTGAAATTATTCAGAGAGGATTGTTCTTCTATCAGCTGATAATAATATTCCATTGCTTGTGATCTATTGAGTTCCCAAACATACATAGTGGAATACCGAGAGAAGGAACAATAGAGTTATCTATATATTGTTTATTCTAATGAGGTGCAATTAATTATGCAATACAATTATGTGCTATCGATCTCTACCATTATAATAATGGGATAGCAGACAATGCCTTTTATTTTCTCTCTGCTTACAAATTCGGCTATCAATCTGGTTTTGGCTCTGTTACATGTGGGTCTGACTATTTCTTCCTTCTTGATTTCCCTCTCTCTCTCTCTCTCTCTCTCTCTCTCTCTCTCTCTCTCTCTCTCTCTCTCTCTCTATTCCTCTCTATTGACATGGGTTTGGTAGCAATACACATTGCGTGCAAATAGTTTAACTACACATCTCTCTTTACTGTTAGATATCCATAACTACAATATCATGTAGGATCATTCTATTTATCGTTTGAGATTTACTTACCCTTTTCTGTTTTCTTTATTTCCCAATTAATACTCTAAAAAAAATTTTGTTTATTGATTTCATGGCTTATGCGCTTTTAAGATCCAGCCACCTTTTTCTTGGATGGCATTTTCAGAAAGTGAATTTGAACGTGCATGTTAACTTTTGTCTCTTTTCACCTGTTTCTAGTTAACTTTATTTTCCTTTTTTAACTAGGGTGCTCATGAGTAATGTTCTCTCGTTCATCAATGCACATCTATGAATTTGGGAATACATCAACTAGGTGGAGACGGTTTGCCAAAAGCCTACAACTATGTCGAAGACGCGAAGAAGATGCAGAGAATTAGGGAATGAGAGCCTCCCCCTCAATCCCATCATCAGTAAATGTAAAATTCTTCTGCTTTTAACTTCCTCTTGTGCATCCAAGACAAAGTGTTCACTTTTTTTATCATGGAAATCAAGAACTTACTACTAGTTATTAATCTCATTGGTTTGAGTAAGATAAGAGGTCAGTCCTCCTATAGTTGCTTCATCATGTAATTTTCCTGTCTGCTATATTTATGCACGAGTGTGTCCATTTTCCTTGAATTACTAACTAGGTACATGCATGCACCAAATTTCTAGATAGTTAAAAATCCTAAACAGAAATGTATCACATATGGAACAATAGTGATTTATCTAAGAACTTGCTAAAGTATTGTAGCCACTCCAACATGGGGATGAGTCTGACCCTGATAGAATTGCTGCTTTGGTTTAATCGTTTGGGGAATCTGTCGCCCAATTATTTAAACAGAGTTTGAATTCTTTTCTTTCCTCACGTCACGCGGGGGTATGTACTAGGTACACATCAAGACAGGTAGCTTGCTCCATCTATCAACTTCAAAGTAAATTAAAGACATTACATTTTACAAATTATAATCTAAAACTGGAAAATTCTAAAATAAAATCTTCAAGATAAGGAAAACAATGGTATCGCCGATAAGAAAATTGACGTGCAATGTCTGTTTTGCACTTTCCACACTTACATCAAGCTGCTTACTGAGGACAATAATCTTCCGAGGCTTGGTCTGAGACCTTCTTATGACAGCAATTTTAATAGCCTGTTTTTCTGTTGATGTCCAGAACTCACTGCGCATACCCATCGAAATTATCATACAGATGAAACATGTCATTGTTGACAAAACCTCATCAGGGGAGGATAATTTTCATGGAGATTGTGCTTATGAGATGCCAAATGGTATTCAGATTTTTTTTTATTGCATGTAAAGATATCTTAGGAATAGATACAATAATGAAGCAAGAGCATAATGTTCGAGAACTAATTTTTGCAAGTTAAATACAAACCTTTCTACCTAGTATGTGCTCCATTTCATCCCAAGTAAATTTGCCAATGAAGAAAACGCTAGAAAGATCAGTTACATCTAGAAATATCAGAAACTCCAGAGTCTGAGTTTCTCGACAGCTTCAATTCCCCTCCCCTCATCTCTAGCTGTTAGCATCACCATGCATGGTTACATGGGATGCTAGCTGCCTGCAAATCTCAAGCCCGATTCCTTTATCGGCTCCAGTCACTACTGCAATTCTGGAATATGAGTGAACGATGGAAGTTGAGAACTTAATCCTTGTGAACTTTTTGTACAAGAAAACTGAGGGTAAACAGATGCTTCATCTCTTTGTGGATGCATTGCTGATGGGTTCTTCCATTGCTAATTCAAGTGCTTTCTTTATTGAAGAAATTACACTATTTTACTTAACTTGTGATGTTGGTTCTCCTAAGGTGTAGTGAGAAACTTTAGTTCATTGCACAGAAGGATGAATTAACTTGGGATCTCATCTCAAGAGGCCTGAGAGAGACAGGCAATGAGCTCAAATTTTTATGTCCATAATGTCAAATTTGCCATCTAGTTCCAGTGCCCTCCCTAGGATGCTGTCAGGTTACTGATATTTTATTTGCTCTCCTTGCAAGTGGTGTGTTTGTTATCCTATATTGTTGAGGAAAACAAAAGGAGAACAATAGAGCAGCTGACCAGATTAAGTTGCACACGGAGACGCATACGTTCAGGAACTTGTTGCCTCACGTGAGCTAAGGGTCACAAGTTAACAGCTGCTGGCTCCATTTTTGTCCCCTTAACTAATACGCTTCTCATCTGGACACCTCAAACCTCCACAATTATGTGTGTCGTATTTGAACATGCTTGCAATTGCCATATTTGAACGTATTCTAATCGATAAACATGTTTAAAGGGATTAGGCACAAGGAATAATCTCTTATTATCACACTACAAATCACAAACCGTGAAGTATATCACAAATACAACACTACATTAATAACAAAACAGAAGGAAAAGCATGCGGGCCATCTTCGCAAGATATACAGCAACATAATTGTAGGTATACATCATGGTATGTTGCTTCTGATTTATTTATTTCATATGATGCTATTCTCTCCATGTTAGATGGAGTCATAAATTACTACTTGTATTACTCGAAGGGAACTATCTCACTTTGGTCGTAGAAAAGACCAGAAGGGCCACCATCAGGAAGCAAAGCTAACATAACAGGCCCTTTAGCACCTTCTTCAGCGGTCAAAATCCCTGTATTGTAGTTTATGTCTGTTTTGATGGAACCAGGAGCAACACAGTTGACGCAGGCCGAGGGAAACCTCTTTGCTAGAAGCCTAGTGTATGTATTCATGGCTGCTTTGGATAGTATGTAACAAGTTGGTTTTGTCGGCCAGACACTGTTGAGTTTTCCTTCTTTCAATTCTTTGACATACGATTGCAGCGTTTCGTCCAGCCTAGCTTCTGTTTTCTCATCCACGTCGCCCATTGCTTTTTTTATGCTCTCTCCAGGGATACTCTGAAGATAAACAGCTTATATGTTTAGAAATTTAGATTTCATAGCTTCAGACATGAAGACTTTGTTAAATGGTAACATACTATGAATACATATTTCTCGAAAAACATGCTATGAATATAGTTGAGTGAATCATATATAGGCTTTTGAGAATAAGATGAATTAATTAACACCATTGGATGGCCAGTTGAATGGATAATTAAATTTCTGGTGTCTAGTAGGTCTATCTGGACACTTTGTGCGGTATAATTACCACTAAACTAGCACAAACACATATTCAGGTTGAATTTTCTTTTATGAATTGATCAAGGTGAACAGCCTTTCTGCATACAATCATAGCCAAAAGACAATTGAAGAATAGGAAAGTTACAATAAGCAGCTATGACAAACATAATTGACTGTTGAAATCTCATTCATTTGAACTTTAAGATGTTTATGCTATTATTTTAAATTTATAGAATGATATAGCAGCAAAATATTGACGAGGGGAAATAATTTTCTATTATTATTCAAACTGTCATCATCCTATCGAGCAAAAAAGAATCTACCTAATGTCCATTGCTCGTTTATAGAACTTGATAGAGAACTGAACAAACTTATGGCATAAAGCATTTGAATATAATCTACATTGTAATCTGGCCTTAGAAGAATAGATTTCCCTAAACATTACCAATGATTAGAAATAAAAAGTATTTAGCTTGCTAGAACCATTGAATAAAAGAAAAAGGTTATGGGGATTTGGTACCCTTAGCTGTCCATAGATAGAGGTAACATTCACTATTCTGGGTGCTTTTGCTTGCTGAAGAAATACTTCCCGCCGTCGTTTCAACAGTGTTTTGAGCAATATTATAATCAGCGACGAGACATTCCTCACCTATTTCAACCCCAAAGGCTCTGAAATAGATTTTCTTAAAAACCTGACGTGGCATCCATTTCAGCCCCTAATTTTTTAAATCACACAAACTCCGGAATTGGAAATGGATAGAAATCAAAATCCTACGTGGCTCTGTTTTAAGATTTCAAATCCTCCGTTTTTTTTTTTTTTGGGCAAACAAACCGCCCCTAAATAAAAAACCTAAAGGCTTGAAACTAGTTTGTGAGATCAAAATTGGTCTCTGAAAGGCTTAAAAGATAAAAAGAGAAGTAAAGAAAAAAGAGAAGGATGGGGACATTGTCTCAGAACAAATTTTAACGTTATACTGGTTTTGTTTTGGTCTGCCTCCCTTGATCCAGACCTGTGGGGTATGCTTGGCAACCACTCCAAAAAATGGGGTTAGTACTGATCATGGTCCTGTTTCCAACTAATTTTATTTATTATTATTTATTTATTTATTTATTTTAGTCCGGGCGATATGATCCGAAACATAGTAGGTCTATCTGGACACTTTGTGCGGTATAATTACCACTAAACTAGCACAAACACATATTCAGGTTGAATTTTCTTTTATGAATTGATCAAGGTGAACAGCCTTTCTGCATACAATCATAGCCAAAAGACAATTGAAGAATAGGAAAGTTACAATAAGCAGCTATGACAAACATAATTGACTGTTGAAATCTCATTCATTTGAACTTTAAGATGTTTATGCTATTATTTTAAATTTATAGAATGATATAGCAGCAAAATATTGACGAGGGGAAATAATTTTCTATTATTATTCAAACTGTCATCATCCTATCGAGCAAAAAAGAATCTACCTAATGTCCATTGCTCGTTTATAGAACTTGATAGAGAACTGAACAAACTTATGGCATAAAGCATTTGAATATAATCTACATTGTAATCTGGCCTTAGAAGAATAGATTTCCCTAAACATTACCAATGATTAGAAATAAAAAGTATTTAGCTTGCTAGAACCATTGAATAAAAGAAAAAGGTTATGGGGATTTGGTACCCTTAGCTGTCCATAGATAGAGGTAACATTCACTATTCTGGGTGCTTTTGCTTGCTGAAGAAAAGGGATCAGAGCTTCAGTTACTCTCTTCATACCATAATAATTTATGTTCAGGCATTCCTCTGCTGTCTCAGGAGTCTCTTTTGCCACTTCTAATAACTTCATGAATCTTTCAAATCCATTTTCCTGCATCAATATTTGACCACTCCTTTCTGTTATGTACACAATCATACAATCATGAGCATGGCTCATCAGAGCAGGAAAAAAAAAAATTGTAGGATGCTGATGAGTTTTAGTTATTTTAATAGCAGTTGAAATTTTACCTCTTCTTTGAAAGTAGGTGGAGTCCCTGTCATTCCACCAACTCCTGCATTGTTAACCTGTAATGTGATAGAGAACAGAATTTCCTTTAGTAACAAAATAGCACATACATCAAAATTTAAATTTCTTCTATCTGTTTAATTGAGATTTCGCATATTTTTACGATAGGAAGAAGCAATTAGCAAAAAAAATATTTTCATACTAGAAAAAGTTAATGAATTTTCAGTTTAACTTAATTTCTATGCTTAATTTAGTTCTAGTGATTAGATTATTCTTTTTAGTAAAAAACCCAATGATCATGCTTTTTGGTAATAATTTTAATTGCATTATTATTTGATTACTATTTTATTTGTACCTTGCATGATTGAATATTCTGGCTTTTATCATGCATATCAATAAGCTTGACTCTAGTGATCCTGAATTAGTATGCTTTCATACAAGGAAAATTCAAGGGGTAGCCAAAGCAGAAAATCTTTCTTGATTGATATCGTTATGATTTTTGTAAATTTATTATTGCTATATCCTGTTCTTATATTCCGAAAAAAATTAAACTTCGTTCTTTACCAAAATATCAAGCTTCCCAAACTGGGTCTTGATAAAATTTGCTAGCGAAGCAACACTGGCAGGATCAGCTACATCAAGCTGATGAAACAAAACATCAGAAACTTCAGAGTTTTTAAGTTTCTCAACAGCTTCAGTGCCTCTCCCTTCATCTCTAGCTGTTAATACGACCGTAACTCCTTGGGATGCTAGCTGCCTGCATATCTCCAATCCAATTCCTTTGTTGGCTCCAGTTACTACTGCAATCCTGGAATTACGAAGTTCGAAAATTTTTAAGATCGGAAACTTGTCACTGTAAATAAGCAAATTGATAAACAAAAGGAAAAAGTAAGTCTACCTCTTTGAAGATACATTGTTGATAGCCTCTGCCATTTTCTAAAACTCAAGTGGGTTATCAGGTTATGCAAATACCTGAACTAAATGCTACACTGCATAAAGACGTTACTTCTCTTTATATAGAGTGAAAATGCATTTGTTTGGATGGATCTTGCTGAAACTGAGAAATGTAAAAGTCAAGTAAGGATAGAGACCGGCTTGCTCATTTTCAACATTTCCTTTGTAGTGGAAGAGGGACGAGTAGTCAAGATTGACGGTAACAGTTGTTTTATTAGCTTATCTTGAACAAATTATTAGCTTAGTGAGATATTCTTCTGTATAAGATATGCAATAAATTAAACTAGTCGTAATCTGGATTAACTCTGGCCTATTTGACTGGGATTTTGAGATGCATCTTATACAGGACTGCTGATTTTTTATTCTATTCTATTTTATTTTTGTCCTTGTTTTTTCTGTCTCTAAGCTCAAAAAATGAACATGGATCGGTCAAAAAATGTATATGGATCATAATGGAATTAATTTGTTTCGTGAATTGTATAAAGACTAAGGACTTGGATCCAGTTCGATCTGACCCGATTTTATTTATAAAAAAACTTTATACAAGGACAAAAATAAAATAAAAGGTTATTACTACATGACAAAAGACAACTATCACTTCGTGTTAAAGTACACGGTCTCATCTCCATAAATTGGTTAAAAGCTCAATTTTATGCATTAGTATTTTTATTTTTTTGGAAAACTGATTGCCTAACATTTTTATTCGAATAGTAGAAAAGGTACTAGGGCAACAATTTAATAAAGCCCACCATTCTTGACAATTCTAACAGCTGGTAAGGATCTTCCATTTCGTCTATTAAGTTTCCGGATGGAAAGCTAAAAAATAATTAAAAAGGAAGTTACTTATATTGTTTATATGCTCATGAGATGCAGTTAATGTTCTATAATTATGTCAACTATTCATCTCTACTATTATAATGAGAGCATTAATAATTTAAAGAAAACAGCTCAAAATTCATTCAGAAGGGTCTTGTTTCCCTATTGGCCTATCTTTACCAATGACCACACCAGAGATTTGGAACCGGCGACTTCTCCTACTCAAGTCTCATACTTGTAACCTTGACCCTGGCATCAAAAGAATCACATTTAGTTCTAAGAGGAATAATTAGCACTGGGAAAAAAAATTAAATCAATTTCTTAAATTCTAAACTCAGTAGGAAAGTATTTCCATCAAGAACAAGTGAGAATTCCTGTTCAGTTCCGTAACAGCTAGGAAACTAGTTTCTTAATTGCGTCACATGAAACAGAGTATCAGTTGTATATCGAAATAGAATAGCTAGCTCCATTCATTAACTTCCAAGTGAAAACACCGTATTTTAACACTATTACCTAAAACTGAAAACAAATGCATTGCTGATAAAGAAGATGACAGTTACCGTCTGTTTACACTTCCCACACTTTACACATAAAACGGCTTCCTGAGGACAATAATCTTCCAAGCCTTGGTTGAGACCTTACAAGAACAATATTTGTAGCTTGGAACTCAAGGATAACGTGCAAAATGAAATATAATATATTCTTGCAAGCAATACTACAAAGTGTTTCACATTTTAAGTAGCCACTTAATGGTGATTTGTCTCCTTCAACCTTTTGTTTTTGATTAACATCATACATGAACAGTCAAAATTTGCTTATTTGCATCCAAAGCTTTAAAAGTTCGATAACAAGCTCTGTAAATATCACGTCCAGCCTCTCAGGAGAAAACTAGTATTCCACCGGGTGACTGTAAGATATCCAGTAAAAGCAAAGGGAAAAAAAACCAGACTGATATAAGAGCCGCATGAGGGAAAGCTGGGATGTTGACTTATTTCTCATGAACAAGAGGGCTATATACAGGGTACCACATATTACGAGCTACATAATCTTCTGTCTCTTCCTGCAAAGAAATAATTACTATTATTATTATTGGGTAATTCATTTTATCTTCACCGTTGACAAGCAGCAAGACGTGGAATATGAGAGCATAGTTGGCCATACCTTTGACATCTGCTTCAGCTGTTTGACATCCATATCATCATGTCCTTCAGCTAGCTCTTCAGCAACAGCAGTGCACACAACAGATGCTCCAACTTTGGTAGTGATATGCCTGATACTGCATGATACACAAGCAACAATGGCAATGTCTCAAAATAAGCGCTAGATGTCTGTATCTTGGAAGTATGCTGCAAGAAACATTATTTTATATTCACTCAACAACATGCTTAATTCTTGAAAAGAATCATGGAACTATATATATTTCCGGATGAAGTTTTCCTTCAAGGCATTATCCTATCAATCAGATGTCACCCCTCCTGCCTTAATCTTTGGTAAATAACAGTACCATTTATTTCTCAGAGGACCCAAGATGCTTGCATTGCAGAAGAGTCAGCAATTTAATATTCATTTTATTCATGTTTATTATTTCCTGGGACAAAGGGACTACAAAATTTCCTATTAAACTGAACAATATTAATGTTATTAAACTGAATTAGATTCTTGCCAAAATTTAACTTTATTTCAAAAAAGATACTATTTAACGATGAGATAACATAAATATTACCACTGCAGATCAGAAAGTTCCTAATATTTTTTAAGTTATTAAACAGATTGGCTTAATTTTTACTCGTCAATGTTGATAAATTGTATGTAAATGTGGCATAGGTAATATGATATTAAATTCAAACTTATCAAAATTGAATCTAGCTAAGAGAAAATCAAGAAAAACCTTTTCTGAAAGATCGAAGATTAAAATTAAACACCAAATCAAACAGGATCAGTTGCGAGTCTAGTGACATAAAAGCTCCTTGTAAAATTCTAATGAAATATCACCTGGAGATAGAAGGAAAGAGAATCCCCTTTCTGATATCTTCATCTGTAATATAAGAGGCAAGGCTGCATAAAAAGAGAAAAGGTGTTTAGAGAACTAAACAAAATTGGTATCTGGATATGCATTCTCCTTCAGTGACAACTAGAACACAACACATCATGAGAAGAAAGAGAACAAATTCAGCTGGCATCGTTTCCTGTAAAGGGCAATATGACAGGGATAAACAAAGTTGGAATAGTAAATTTCGTCTACCCTCAGTTATTCAAGTAAAGCCTGATCTAACTGAGAGGATTAAATAAAGCAACCTAGCACAAATACAAATTTTGACAGTAGACTAATACAACAGACCACAGTCTTGCATTTGCTCATAAACATATTGATTAGAAATTTAGAAGACATCTGATATCTCATGAATCCAAAACAATGTAACATATTGATTAGAATACATCTGATATCTCGTGGATCCAAAAACAATGTCAATCATAGCTGGGCTGAAGATAGCACTTCAGAGAAGTAGAAAATGAAAAAAGGGTCGTTAAACACCAATAAGTTCAGAGCACGAGGAGGCTTAATTTCCTCTTTATGAAGATATTCCCTCCTGCACAGTCAACTTTGTTGTGCCTCGAGAAACCAAACCAACCGCCGAGAGAGATAAACAACCACAACCAAACAATAGCACAAACAATCAAACACCAATTTTAACGTGGTTCGGCGAATGCCTACGTCCACGAGGCAAGGGAAGGGGGTTTTCACTATTAAAAATCAAGAGGATACAACTAGGGTTACAAATCTCACACCAAAAACCACAACAAATCACTCTTAATCCCTCCAAATGCTCTTTTAGAATAGAAGCCCAAAGAAAACCATTTCTATTCAGCTCAAAACCTTGCTTGCTCAAACCCTAAAAACACCCTTTGGGTATTTATACAACTCCAAAACAAAACGGGTCTGAAAACAGAACCCAGCCCAAAACCCGCATCGCGGTCGACCGTAGCGCCATGTGCGATCGACCGTGATAAGTCGACGAGGCTCACCAAAGTCTCTGGAAAAACCACGGTCGACCGCCAAACATCCAGAGCCAAATCCAATTTCTGGGCCAGCGTGGTCGACCGCCAAACATCCAAAGACATTCCCAGATTTCGTGCACGATCGCGGTCGACCACCGCGCCACCCGCGATCGACCGCACAGCACCCAAAAGCTCTCCTTCGACTCTTCGCCAATACGCTCGCCAAAACAACAATCTCCATCTCGAATCTATAATTCTTCACCTCGGCGAACGTTTTCCTAAAAACTAAGCCGACACCGACCACACCAAATGCCTCATTTGTTGCGTCCAGTACGTCATAGCAACGGACTCATGACAACGGACTCCATCCACAACAAGTCGAGACCCAAACGGGAGTGCGAACACTCACCCCAACCAACAATGTCTACTCACCAAATCGGCTGCATCAAAACTGACTGTCTACGTATCCTCTTGCCCGAGGAATCAAGCCTTCACGTAGTTCACCTAATGGCCTCCAAAGACCCTCAATCCAAAAGAAGAGTTCTCAACTCTCCACCAATACCAACATCCAATGTACGGCTGATAGCATCACCAACGGCCCAAATCCGACATGATCCAAACACCTCCACCTGAGGTGAACCAATGACCGTATCCAAGCTATATCCACCAACTGTACTCGGATCTACCAACACATCATCCGCATCCGAATCCAAATGACTCACATGCTGTGCCACCTCAGTTGGAATCCCAACCAATGCAGAATGACCTGGAGTATGTGGGGAAATCTCCACCCAATGTGGAGTAGCATCACCCTCCATCCGCTATAATATCCCACAGATCTGATCAATACTCTCTACCTGCTGAGAGTCCAACGTGACATACCTGCTCAGACCAAACTCGGAAGCCCTCAACTGATAGCCAAAAGGGCTTCTGAATCGCAAATGCGCAATCGGATCCAATCTCACATCTACGATGTGACCAAGTACTGGGAAGCCCAATATCCGACGCCAACCAAAATCTGAAGCAGCTCCATCAGATCTAACAACTCTACACGCAACAGTCGACAACCTCATAAGATGGCCCAAACATGTCGAAGCCTGAATACCAAATCCACTGCTCGACAAGCAACGCTGATCCTCCTCCAGAAAAGAACGGCCCACTAAATCCGCCATCTCATCACGTCGCCCCACTGTCTCCTCTCCTACAAAGTGTCTCCAACTGCCGTGAGCTTGGCACAAATGCAAGAAAGGATCCCTACTAGAACTACTACGATAGATAACCTTTCTGCTCATACACCTCCTCCAACTGTTACGGACTACTAGGGCTTCATACCAACGGGACTTGGTTGTAACCTATAAATGCCTAGTACAATCCCTAACATAGGAAACAAAATACCGATTACCTCCCAATAATGCATCCATGGAAGGCCTCCGAATGCCTGACTGAACACCTCTAATAAGACCACTCGATCGATGGATAGAAGTGTCAAACCCCACCTCGGTCTTCTTGCTCATCCCAATGTGCTCAAAGGACATCAATCTACAGGTCATAGCACTCTTCATCAACCTATGCACGGCATAACCAATAATATACCCCAACACCAAATAATGTCACAGTCTAGCCAAAGAAGTCGTCAGCGCTCTATCAATTACCGTGCTCCCAAGCAGATAATACAAGTTACTCCTCCTAACGCCATTCATTATAATCATAGACCCTAATGTGACCTTCAAGCGAGAATCCACCAAGATCACTCTATAGTCTGCTACCTCCAATACCCCAAGTGAAATGATGTTCTTCCTCAGTTGAGGAACGAACCTCACATCAACCAACTCCCGAATCATCTCATCACTCGTCTGAATCTAAACGGTACCAATACCACTAATAGGGCATCTGTGATCATTACCCATAAGAACAGCATCCCCTCTTTCCAACTCATGAAAGCTGAAGAACCAACCCCTCCTAAGACATATGTGGTAAGTAGAACCTGAATCCAATATCCACTCGGTGGAGTCAGCAACACCAACTGACGAAAGAGCTGGGCACGAATAGCCCGAAGAATCTGAATCTGAAATATCGCCACTAGCTTTGGCAACATTCACCTCTGAAGCTTGAATATCTTTCCCCTTATTTTTTCCGGCTTGTAATTTTGGGCATTCGGCTTTCCAATATTCATCCTCTCTACAAAAGACATTGATTCCTACCCACTGTAGGATGCCCCCCTCTAGACTGCGACCTCCTACCACGATTTGGACTTCTAGCTCTTGCAACCAATGCCATCGCTACCTACTCAATGAAAGTCTCATTGTCCTTACGAAGTTGATAATTCACAAGAGCCGCGGTGACCTCACTATATGAAAAAGATGTCTTTCCATTAATAAGAGTGAGGACAAATGTCTCATATTCCTCATCGGGCAAGGAACTCAACAATTACAACGCATTGTCCTCATCTTCAACAATGATATCTACATTCGTCAAATCTGTAAGTAGCTTCGTGCAGTGGTTCATGTGATCACTAATGGATATTCCCTTCTTCAATTGGAAGCGATAAAACCTTCTCTTCAAATGCAACTGATTTTCAACGCTCTTCGTCAAATACTTACCCTCTAGGATCTCCCAAATCTTCTTTGCAGAAGTCTCATTCATCACATCATACTTTAGATTTTGAGTCAAACAAGACCTATTCACACCACACGTCGTTTTATTCATTTTCTTCCAAACCTTCTCATCAATGTCGTCCGGTTTCCCGTCCAACTCTAACGTATCTTTCAAATTTTACGCATTTAGCGCATCCAAGACTTCGCATCGCCAAAGTCCAAAATTATTTGTGTCATCGAACTTCTCCATATCTATCTTCATAGAATGGATACTCAAACTTTGGACGGTCTTCATACTAGAATAAACCCTCCCCACCTATGTTACCCAGGTACTTCATTATTGAAGCCGTACCCGTATCGGACACGTACCCGACACTTTCCCGTACCCAAACTTCATGGACACTTCTTGAATATATGCATGCATTTATTACAACATGTAATCAATTAGACGATATATGTGTTAATTTAAAACACTTGTCAAAGATTTTCTAGACGTAGAGCTTACACTTCACATCCGTCTTTTGAAACTAATGGGATACGAGTCGGGTTCGTTTCAGTCCATACCTAAGTTCAAAACTATATAGTTAATGGATCGTTTAGATGTCTACTAAAAAATGAATAGTTTACAATTCACGATAATCAATATGATAAAATAAACTCAAAAATATGATCGCAATTTTAATTCTAATGACACATGAAGCAAAAAAAAATTATCTCATGTACATTATTAAATTAATATATATATGTAGTCGTGTCCCCGTACCCAATATTTTACAGTTTTGCCGTGTCCTCTACCCGTACCCGCACCCGTACCAGTACCCGTGCCCGTTTCCATGCAACTTAGCTCCCCACTTTTATCTTTCTCGGCCATATATCTCAAAGCACCTAATAACAATTGCGGAATAAACAAGAAATAGATCCAACTTGAACAAAGATGGAATTTTTACCACAAAGATTCCACCTTTATCACCAACTGAAGCTCTGATCTACTCTTCCAAAAAAACCAAGAGTTGTCTGGAGCTCTGATACCACTTGTGCCTCGAGAAACCAAACCAACCACCGAGAGAGATAAACAACCACAACCAAACAATAGCACAAACAATCAAACACCAATTTTAACGTGGTTCGACGAATGCATACGTCCACGGGGCAAGGGAAGGGGGTTTTCACTATTAGAAATCAAGAGGATACAACTAGGGTTACAAATCTCACACCAAAACCCACAACAAATCACTCTTAATCCCTCCAAATGCTCCTAGAATAGAAGCCCAAAAAAAACCCTCTCTTCAGCTCAAAACCTTGCTTGCTCAAACCCTAAAAAAACCATTTGGGTATTTATACAACTCCAAAATGAAACGGTTCTGGAAACAAAATTCAGCCCAAAACCCGCATCGCAGTCGACCGCAGCGCCATGTGCGGTCAACCGCGATAAGTCGACGAGGCTCACCAAAGTCTCTGGAAAAACCGCGGTCGATCGCCGCGCCACGCGCGGTCGACCGCCAAACATCCAGAGCCAAATCCAATTTCTGGGCCAGCCGCGGTCGACCGCCAAACATCTAAAGGCATTCCCAGATCTCGTGCACGATCGCGGTCGACCACCGCGCCACCCGCGGTCGACCGCACAGCACCCAAAAGCTCTCCTTCGACTCTTCGCCAATACGCTCTCCAAAACAACAATCTCCACCTCGAATCTACAAACTTGCTTTACCTCTAATTAGTAATTATTCTTGTCACCAGTGGAGATGTTGGTATTTTTATAGGAGCAAGGCACAGGGGCTAGTTGTCAATTATTCAAGGCTGATTGACAATTCTTCCTCTTGAAGTACAGAACCCACTACACATACCTCCTCAAGATTATACCGAGTAATCTAACAAAGAATGACTGAACAAAACTTGTCTCTGTTTACAAAACTTCATCATTTGAGGGTTATATTCAGAGAAGTTGTGCTTATGAGATGCCTAATGGTATTCAGATTGCTAATTTTGGAGCTTTCTCATGGGGGTTCATTCAAACCTCATTTTTTGTCTATTTCATTAAAGTTAAGCTTGCTTAACATCCATGTTCTCGATGAAGAGGGTTAAAACATCTCATGGATTCCAACTGCGAACAAGCTGGGCGTCTATGCTTTCTGTAAACTTTTGAGAAAGATCACATCTCTAAATTTGAAAATAAGGTTTTTTTCTACAATCCCATCTCATTCACTTTGTAGTTTGTCCAGTATGAATTCCAAGCTTAGGAAAGTAGAACCATGGAATTTAAGAAATGCAAGCAACGAAAATTTATGGTCACCATAGGCAGGTAGACAACCAAGGAAGAAACAGAAACAAGATCAAAATTGCTTCCATACCTCTTCATAAATCATCGGTTCCCTTTTTCAGGGTCCTAGTATGTAAAACTAATTGATGAAATTGCTAAAGAAACTTGTTATAACTTTCACTCATAAATGCGTGGATAAAGGGGCAAACCTTCAAATTCAAGAGAGATGACGAAACAGGAAAAATAGTTTGAGGGGGAAAAACAAGAAAAGAAGCATAGCATTTAGATGAACTAATAGCATCACGGGCACAGTTAAGTCAGTATGTGTCTATTTCTCAAGTGACCTTACCATTCTGCTGCTGCTTGAAGCATCCCATCTGAAATAAGACGAGCACCTGACAGAAGAGCCCCTAACCCAATCCTGGATTTCAGAATAAAACTTGAGCATTGATACTACACTGTAAGTCATGATGGTTTAATGATTTTAAATATAGGCACATACCCAGGAAATAAATACATGTTATTAGCTTGGTTAACATAGCCTACTTTTCCATTTCCTGCAAGCAGATTTGCAAACATCAAGAATTTGGACAAGTCCAAAGCAACGAAAGATATCAAGATAAAAGATAGTGCAAACCTAAAGTAACATTTTCAAATGGGCTCCCACTAGCAAAAATCGCATTTTCTCCTGCATATTTGAATGCGTCTGCAGCCGTGCATTCAGCTGTTTCATTGGAAGTCAACAACAGAAATGACAAGCTTCTTTTCTTTTTTTTCGTCATAAAGAGGTAAGAAAATTGTTAGGATTAAGAAAGGAAACCTTTGGTTGTAGGATTTGACATTGCAAATATTGCAGGCCTGGGGGAATCAGACTTTTGCATAGCCTTGAGCACCTGCAAGAAAATTATACATCAACTTCTATAATCACTAGTAATCAGTAACTCCATATATGTACTACTTATAACAAAGGATTGCTATGTCAAAACTTTAGATTGCCTTTTTGGCCATCTCAATCAAAAGTTTTGAAATACCAATCCCTCTTTCATATGTCTAATATAACAATAATGATAGGTAATGCATAATAAATAGAAGTATAGAGAATATATAAAAATATAGATATACATGAAATGAAAACACAGACATATATAAATATATACACATATCAACGTGAACTTTAATTTGTTCTAAAGGACATTTAATATTACTTTTAAGCCTAGAAACCTGTGCACCTTTAATATGTTTAATAGCTAAACATTTGTGTGGCTTTCAACAAACTGTTGGGCTTCAAGTTAGTTTGTAGTAACCTTTGGACTATATATAGAAAGACTTCCACTTCCCACTTCACTATCTATTTAGTTTTAACCCACCAGCTTCATCTCTATTTTCCAAGAGACATAATTCAACAACATCCACCAGTTCATATCTAGGTATACGAGAAGCCAAATGAGTTTAAAAATAGCTTCAACCACAATTAACTAACCACCCTTTCATTTTCCCTTCACATAACCTCTCATTCATCTCTATATATATAAATTCACCCAATCATTCTCTTCAACCAATCACATTATCTACCAAGTCAAATTTCCTACAATTGTACAACAAAGCTCAACTAGAAACTCTATTCAGATCAAGAGGGGAGCAGAGGTTGTTCATCTTCTTTCAAAGATCAATTTACCCAAACACTTTTGCACGCATAGTGTAATCCTCTATGTATTTTGAGGTAATTTTATATTTAACTTTAATATTCTTTAATGAGAAATCTCAATTCTCACAAGTTGTTTTAGAACATATAACAAGTAATAGAGAGCGATGAGGTTTTGAATAGTTACAGACCTCACCAACATTCATACTGCAGTTTTCTTCCATTGTTTGGTTACAGAGTACAAATATACATTTTCTTCAAACAAGTGACAATAACAAAGTTAACAACTTTGTCTCCTATTTTAGTACGGCAATTAGAGTAACTGTAATAATGACTTAAATATTTTTTTAAAAGGTTGAAGGAGGGAACATAATTCGAATCCTGGATTAGATCCCCTGATGATTAACACGTCAAATTATTTGCTTCAAAGAATCATATCAATTTATCTCTAAAGGATGAAATTGATAGCTAAAATCATAGTTGGGATCATGGTACGCTATAGCGAACCACGGCCCGGGTTCAATCGTCCCAGATTCGCATGGAACATGACTCGATTTCAGCGACCGATTCAAACCAGTTAAAATTTTGAAAAAATAACTCTTTTAAAAGAATAAACAACAAAAACTTGAGAAATTAAGCAAATAAATTGTGCATATCTTAATTGCAACACGATTCTTAAGGTTCTTTTAACATTATTGATAACAACCAGCATTTAAGAACCGAACATAAAGCGTATCATATTCCCTGATGTACCACTTAAGCCTACTCCCTCGTACCCAACTACTAACGAGTGGCATACCACATTCCCGTACCCGTCCCATGAACCGGAACAAGCCGGGTTCCATGCAACTATGGATAAAATACACTATATTACGGGAGCAAAGATTTTGATTCTCTCTTCTTGGACAAGGATTCAATGATGTTGCTTTCAAATAATTTACCATACTATTGTCTAACAAAAAGGAAGAAAAAAGTTGCAGTCCCACATTAGTTTCGTTTGGTTTTCTCGATCATAAGTAGTACATGTGCTGATGTACAACTATAAGTAGTAAAAAGAATTATATAGTCGGAGCTTATATTTTCCATTTATAATATTCCTTCTTATTTTGCTCATAATCTGGTTGCCATTTGGGTGGAGTTTTAATAATTATAGTGTAACTCCAAATTTCAGTTAGATCATCAAATATTATAATATTTAATAACTACTCAAATCAATAACGTTGAGAAAACATCCACCTGCAACGCACATGCACTTTACTAGTGTGTCAAAAATTCATAAAGATAAAAGGAAAACACAAGAAAGATTATAACTTGTAATCAACACACACATGTGAGACAGGTCAAAAATTCTAGGTATAAACATAATATCTAGCACTCTGCTGGTAGTTATACACCAGTTAACCAGATTATACTTAAGGGGAGGAAAGAAGACTGTCCTAGCATGAGCTTACTTGGAGATTTATGATAAAGCCACTTGCATTTTTTTAATAATTAAAATGACATGAATGACAAAGCAATTATCCCAAGTTTTGGGGATCAGCTACATAAATCATATTCTTCCATCCAACTTTGTTGAAGTACTACCCCAAATCTTTTTATGTTTGAAGAACTGAAAAGATTAGAAAAGTTCTTGCAAACGAATAGGTAAAATGATTTTAATCGGCACATATTACAGGGTTGTAAAAAGGCTAATAGATCTTGTCCTGAACCAAAAATAAACTGGCATTCTCACATTCAGTTAAAACTACAAAAGAAAATTAACTGCAACATACAGTTTTCCATATTCAAGTTACCTGCTTGTCGAAGACACCACCAACACCAGATAATCCTAAAATCACGTGGGGCTTCACTTTTTCAACCTGGTGCATGTTGGTAAATGTTCAACAAGGTATCCAACATTTAATTTCAATAAGGTATCTAACATTTAATACCATAAAGGTGATTGCACGTATAGTAATAGTTCAAAGAACTTGAAGGTTAAAGATTAAAGAAAATTATTTAACCTCAGATAGGCTTCAGATAACAGATATTGGTCTTTTGATGACCAAAAAGTGTTCTGGACAGAATTAACACAGAAGTTCAAGTAAGTATTTACCACTTCAAGGAGTGAAGCACCCTCCTGAAGTCCCTCAACCTCTCCTTTACCAAAGCCTCTAGCAAAAGGAGCAGCTGCTGGATCAAGGTTCCTTCTGTCTTTTGTGATAAGACCCTACAGATTAAAACAATATGTTAAAACTAGAACTTCATATTGAAATAATCACATGTTTGCACTTAAAAGTTATGTTAGAATACAAAAATATAACTCTCAACTCTCACCACAACTTCTAAGTTTCGGTGTAATTGCTATGGGCACTTAATTTAAGATAGTATTAGAGCAACCACGGTGCAAATCCCACCGGCCAAGAATTTAAAGAGGATTTTCTATATATAAAAAATTGACACCGCTGCACGGGTCCAGGTTTTGGCCCATAAAAAGGGTGCTCCACCTGCTGGGGTATTATTAGAATATAAAACTATAACCCCCAGCTCTCACCACAACTTCAGAGTTTGTGTAATAGTTAGAGAGACTTTAAGAAGTTCTACAAGAGAATCATTAAGAACAGGCAATGGCTAAAAGATTTTGCTGAACTAAGAAGAGGGCATGAGCGAAAGATTTTATGAACAAAGAACAAGGTCGAGGGTAAACAGACAGAGTTAGCCTGTAAACAGTGCTAGCAGGTTTAACATAGCACAACTGTATAACATAATAATAAACTACTGCTACTGTGAACATCCATTATACAAGCACCGGCTGAGAAATGACCCTTTAAAAAAGGACTGTTTAAGGAATATCAGGAAGGATATGTGACTGCAGATCTGGAATGCAAAGCATTTCTACAATCTATGTTCTGCAGTATAACATGAACTAAGGATAGATTTTCTTTGAAAACTTGGTTATTTATTGAAGATAAATAGATTACAGAATTTGTAGATTCCATATACAGTTCTTCGTCAGGAGCTCCTAAAGAAACTGCACTCTGAGATGATATTATTTGATTGCAGTATAAATAATTTGTTGGCCTGATACTTGTCACTTGGACTTTTGGTAAAATGGTTATCAGCATGGTATTATAGCACCAGCAGTAAAAGGTTCTGATCTAAACATTAACATAAATATGAAGACAAATTTTCCCTCCTCAAGTGGGCTATCTACAACATAAAAACAGCATCTACTAACTGCCATACAAACATGGGGTATGTTGGCCGGTATTGCATGCAATATAGGATAATTGTTGGTCCACCATTCATCAGCTTAATGTTACATCCTGCCTCATTTTTGCCACGTGGACAGGACAATAAGGTAATTCTACAATTTTATACATAAATCTAGACTGTTCTAGAAGAGTCTAGAATATTCTAGAACCTTTCCGAACATTTCAGAATGTGTAGAGTCTTTAGAACACAGTAGAATGTTCTAGAGTAGTGTGGAGACACTAGAATGTAGTAGAATGTCATAGTAGTGTAGAATAGTCTAGAGAAGTATGGACCTATGAGGGATGTACAAAGTTCTAGAGAATTCCTATGAAGGGTTGAGGCCTATAAATAAAGGGAGAACCATCACTTACCAAAACATCCCTCCAGAGTTGCAATCTTTTGTGAGTGCAATACAAGAGCTCTCTTTCCTTTGTTTAGCTAGTGTGCTTTTGTGTGAGTGTTAGTAAGGCTGAACTTAGTGAGTTAGTGAAAGACTTGCTATGTGTTGCAGGTGAGCTTAGAAAAGACTAAGCCCGTGACATTAAGCTTTTGGAAAGGCTTATCAGCTAATGGTATAAAAAAGAGGCTCTATTCTACGTGAAATAAGAAAGCTTGCTACCAGAAGATATGCTAGTGTATGGGTTTGAAGTTATGAGGTGGTAGCCCATTTAGCCCATTCCTATATTTTAAAAAACTTTAAATCTCATACAAAACTTTGGCATTTTCTACATAAAATTTCTCAAAAAGAAATTTAAATCTCTTGGACATGTATTTGCATGTGCAGAAATGTCACTGTGTGTGTGCAATAAGGATCTGATTTTGACAAAAGGGTATCTGCATCCGCAGATCAAAATGAAATAAATAACAAATGTATTCAACGAAACACCTAAATTTAGAACCATACATCTTTGTCAAGTAGCCAGAACTGGTTATGAGTTTCATTATCTTCACTTGACCCAGTCATTCTCAAAGCTGCATGTTTAGCCATGTTAAGCACCCCTATCCCTGCACTGAACATTAGAAATACATCAAAATCGCAAGTAAAAAATGCAATCTATGATCATAACTTCATAAGTTCTTAATGCAATCTATGATCATAACTTCATAAGTTCTTACATGCAGAAAATGTTTTGACTTCATTTAATGCAGTTCTATTCTCTTTACTGAAATTTATACAACGAGTATATCAAATATCAAATTACCTCCCAGCTCCTACTACTACAATTTTCTGCTTGACAAAGTCCTTCAAAGGACGACCTTGGGCTCTCACTGCTCCAAGCAACCCGGCAAGAGCAACACCAGCTGTTCCCTGTCAAGTATGATTGAACTTAACTCAAACTACACCCCTCTCTGAAAGGACACACAAAGTGCTAACCTGTATGTCATCATTGAACATGCAAAACCTTCTCCGATATCGCTGAAGAGTTTCAAATGCCCATTTCATTTGGAAGTCTTCGAACTGACAGGTTGTCAAAATTGTTGGTGAAAGAAACTAATATGCATAATATTTGTTTTCTCGACTTGGATAAAAATGATACCTGTATGACTGCCTTGGGCCAACGTGTATGTGCAGCTTCCATGAATTCATCGACAATAGATAAATACTCATTTCCTTCCAGCCTTGGCTGCCGTAATCCTAAATCTAATAGATCAGAATATGTGGGGGGGGAAGCATGTTTTTTTTTCGTTTTCTTTTTTACCCCTTTCTAAAAGACATGGTTAGTAACCACGAAGGTATGCAAATGGATCAGATGGTTTCTATATAATGTTTTATTTCACCATGTGTTGTGTATGCTTCTATTTTGAGTAACAGGCAATATTTGTATTAATTTTAGATAGTGATAAGTTTTTCTCTTGGTATCATTGTCTTCAAGTGTCATTGTAAAGGACTATTATATTCAAGTTCAGTCATCCATCAATAGCACTTGTGGTATAAGAACAAGTGATCAAAGAAATGTCAGAAAAATGTTATGAAACAGAGTCTTCAAAACAAATAATGAGCAGGTCAAAATAAAAAGCTGATGTATTAGCAGAAGTAGCAAAAGTGGAAAATGCTTAACTGACAAATTCAATGGAAGTACAACTGTGTAAAGAAAATATAGTACAGTTCATTCTCTAAAACAACAATCCTAATGGAATAAGTGGCCTCCTTAAATAACATGAGCAAGACTGCCAACAACTCAGAGGCCCTTTGCTTGAGCAAATGCTGCTAAAGGTTGATTCCAAGCTTAAAGTATTCAATAAATGATTGCATAACATAGACAAGTCCATGGCTACGAGCTATTTTGCCTACAAACCCATTTGAGAACGATACCTATAAATCTTACAGTTAGCATGTATACAACCAGTGTATGTATCCTAAGGATTAATGCCTGAAGCCAAATGATTCAGCGTATATAGATCCCTATAGTATTACAGTATTGAAAGATGAGGCAGAAGGAGTATGGAGATATTTCAAGTAAAATCATATGCCTTTCTACACACAGTTTCTCCACAAGTAAATTCTTTCATGAAGTAACCACATCGAAATGGATATAGCATAATTTATACAAATTACTGAAGTCTTACAAAGATTATCTTCTAGAAGCTTTTGGTTGTTGGTACCAACATCAAGCATAACAGGGAGTATCTGCATAAAATAACATAAGTTTGATGATGAAAGCATGCTACACAGTGAGATAAAATTTGCATGTGGTTTTATTATTGTTCAAAAATACAAGTCATAAATAAATGATGCATAACCCATTGGCTGCTAAAACAAACATAGATAAAAGGGAAGAAGTGCAATATGTTGCATAAGCATTTTCACCATTCATATGAAAAGTCAAAATATGCTGGCATATATGTTATGAAAGTCTTGTAAAAACATCCATGTGCCAGGACTACTCGCGCATGCATGTCTCATGCACGCACAATAAGCACATACTCTCCCTCCCACCCCTAGCCCCCAAAAGTAAAGTGGCAGATGGAGATACAGTGAAGTGCAACATACTCTTTGTGAATTGATGCCAGCAGCAGCAACATACATATCAAGTTTTCCTATGGGTATTCCAATACCCTGAACTCCAAGGTCCCCAAGGCCCAATATGCGGCTCCCATCTGTCACCACTATCATGTCGACCTGATTACCATGAATAGGTTCACATATAAAACACCAAATCATACATGTGTGATGCTACCCTAATATTCTTGCAATTAATTGAATGGAAGAATGAAAATGAAACAAAGAAGGAGAATTAACAATACATGTCTCAGTTAACAACAATCCTTTTACAATATAAAAAATGTTGACAGAAGAAGAAATGGTCCATCTAGAATCAAATCTACCAAATTAAGGAGATATATTCATAGATCCTCAATGCAGAATTAAAGACTGATCCAATGTCCACTGATATCATACAATAACATTATAAACACTTAATAATGTATAAAATAAACACACAATGAGGTAACAAAGCTAGAACAAAATGGTAACTCTAGAGGTACTCCAAAAATCCATGTATACTGAACTGTTTGGGAATAGCTGGGAACAATATACAATAAACATTGTACCCAACAAAAGAGAAGCCACATGATACTTTATTTCTTAGATTTATATATCGAAGCTGAGGACAAGGTTTAGTGGTAAGTTATGGTCATTCTGTACATCAGATCATCTTGTCGAATTGAGATGCATCAGCAATATAAAGTTTAAAGCTCGCGCCACGTGCATCATCAAGTTTAACAATAACTCATGAATAACAGCCGTAAAAGGTTTCTCAAGGACCAATGAACACAACCCTGCAGCATGAAAGATTCTTTAACTGCAAAAAAATACTTGAAAGGGGAAAACAGAAATCATTCCTTCAAAAGTGTTGAAACGATCTAACAGTCTCATATACTCAAATTTTCTATTAGAAGGACTTTCAAATAGTTATATTTCTCATCAGCATTTCAAAATTTCAGATGCTGGACAGGGTTCAGTTAAATCTCAGGCTAAATCTTTTTGATATGCATAACTGATTTTGACATTTTCTCTAGGAGAGAAAAGACCATAAAAACAGAATGAGCATGTACTGTATCAATATCTTTGCATACCTCTGCAAATTGTGCTAACTATTGTCTCGTAGGTCATTCATGAATTAATATTGAAAAAAATGATATCTTTGATAGTGCAAAAACAGATTTCAGATTAATTAAAATATGAGGACGCAGCTGATAACTCAGAAAACCAAAAGAATTCACTTTGATACAAGATTAAATTTGAGGTGAAAATGCCAAGCTTGATCAATGGATGGACCAAATTGCATAAATGATATTATTTTGAGAAATCAGATTACGTGCATATAATATTGCCTCTTTCTTTGTACCCTATTTCCTACTCTGCTGGAATTTAGAACATTCCTTCATTAACATAACAGCATGAGCAACTAGCTGATTACATCTACCTGCCCACTCTCTTTCATGAAAAGCAGCTCACATGCAAGTTTGTAACAATTGTGTTAAGCAGCAATTCAGCTCCAACCTCAGAAAAAAAATAGACATCAGGACAGCCAGCATAAGAACTAAGTATTTCTTACTGATGCTTCTCGAGACCTCTTAATGGCAAAAAGATTTGAGTCATTATGAATGTGATTCTGGTGATGGTGGTGTAATGATGACGAAATTCTAAGGCAGTCAGAAACCCCCCATATTTCCTCACTAATAATTCCAATTTATATGCGTTTCAACTTTCAAGGGATTGCAAAATACCGACTGGTCCTGATATGACAGACTTTTGTTGGGAAATAGCCACGGTTGAGCAATAAAGTACAATTGCACTTTCATTTTCAGAGTCTTGACTCTTGACACTGATGTCAACCTTTTTCATTCTCAACTTAAAAACTTAACCTTCACCTATACAATACATAGTGCAGTCAGTAGTCAAGTGCTGTAGGAATTTCAGAGACCAACATGAAATAACTACATGACCCTGGCGTGGTACAGAGGATGCAAGAGAAGCTAGACAGAAGGAAATCCTGAAGCCTGCCCAAACTAGTTAAGATCCTGAAATAGACTTTTCCATGTCTAGTCCTTCTGCACCACCTAGAGTGATTGACCATTGTTTATAATATCTTCCAGTGACCTTTTGGTGGTTCCGTAGTTCATGCCAACATGGTGTTTTGCATTTTCTGTCTGATGCAATGCTTACAAATAAACTAGAAGTGTAAAAATTAAATGGTTATAAGAATTTCCTTTCATCTAAATTGCATACTTCCAAATTTGGGAATAAACCATCCATTGAAAATAGCTAAGTATCTACTTAAGAATTCAACTTGGTAGTAAGATAACAGATCCACTTCAAAACTGAAACAGGTCAACTGTTGTGCTCTTTAATAACCCACCTACTGAAACATGTCAAATGTTGTGTTCTTTAATATCCCATCTTTATTTATCCGTTCATTAGTCCAGTGATGCAAGCCTAGATTTCTAGAATCTGAGTTGACAATTTTTTACGCATATTTGTGAATTCAAATGAATGTGCAGCAATTAGAAATCGAAGAAAATATATACTGTAATTCGACCACCTGCTAAATAAAAAATTCTAACCAGTAAGATGAGCACTCCTGACTAGATAGGGCCAACAAATAGAACACTTGACCATATAGTTATTTCTGGTAGAAGGGGTTCAAAAGGCACCTTTTGTGATGGCCAATTGTAGATCATAGACATCATCTCCCCTTTATCTTTTCCACTGAAATACATTCCACGGGGACGTCTAAATAAGCCTCCATAATTTTCACACACCAAGCCTACAGTTGGAGTGTATATTATAGGTGCAAAATCTTTGATATTATCAATAAGTACCTGCAAAAACCAACATATCATTATTCTGTCAGTGACATTGTATAAGCATTATTTGTACTAAATTTTACTAAGGCGTGTGGCTACATGAAAACAAGCTTACCCTGTAATACAAAGTCTCATTTCTGTCATGTAGTCTGTTTAGGATCCTCCATTTCGCTAAGGATACAACACTGTCAGGTTCGCCTCGAGTGTTATTCTCCAGTGAGTGATATGAATTCACTAACAATTAGAAAGGATTAGTTTACAATTTCTGCATTATAAATGGTAAACTAAGAAAGCTGCTTCAATTAAAAACATAATTAAAAACCTGCTTCAATTTTAACTGAATTAAGTTGGCAGTTTAACTTCCCTAAATTATTCAAGCCCCTAAACATGAAGCATAATCAGTTGCATATTTTAATAGCAACCACCAAGAGAGTTTAATCATTTCACTATATTAAACCAAGTTGATCACTTGAACTTTATTGATATGTTCTAACTTTCCAATTACGATGGAGGTTCCATCAGGACATGCAATGTGAAGTAAAATTATCCCATCTTGGCAAATTCTACATAAGAAATCTCAAAAGGATCATCAAAGAGAGAATGTCTTAATAGTTTAAGATGCAGATAAGTCATCCACCAAGTGCATATGTGAGATGACATCCTAATCTAGAGTACTGATTCTATGTGCAGTTATCTGTAACCATGAGTTTGTGATACTTTGCATGTTCATTTGCAATTTTCAAGGTGATGAGAAAATTGGATAAATGCACCATGCACTTGGATACGCCTTGGTGTGCTTTAGTGAGCCTTCCTGCTTTTTTACTACCATCAGTACTTCCTTTTATTGCTCCTCTTTCCCTTATTTGCCTGTCTTCGTTTCCTCATCTTCCTCTTTCTCCTTTTCCTTTATCTCCCTTTTCTTCTTCCTCTTACACTTGCTCTGTTCTTATATTTCAAGATTTTAAATATCGGTTATCGGGGAGCTATTAGACGGTCAAAATCCATATCGTATAGCGAATATCAGGGATATGTAGTATTCATCGGAGTGACATTACGGGATGGTGATATACATAATGTAATATTCTAAAATGTAACCTAACCATATTTAATGAAATATAAACATACCAAAATATTAATAATTATGTTTAGGATCACTAAGCAATGAGTTGGGTTTAAAGTGCATTGAATAGGTGCCCGTTGCCCAAAATAAAAACTCAAACCAAAGGGCAAAAATTCCGATTTTTGGGCCGACAATATCAGCTGATAACTCACTTTATCGCTGCAATATCCGCGATAAATATCCAAAAACGATAACTGATTTAGAATCGAATTTATCATAGCGAAAGGCCCCCAAAACCGATAAATCGCCCATAATATTGGTTTATCGGCCGATATTTAAAACATTGCTATTTTTGCTGATATGAAATCTAGAACGGCTATTTTGAATACAGCAATAATTACTATATAATCTAGAATTTGTCGTATAATGTTTAAATTTCTTTAGGGTTTTCTCGATACTAGTCCCCAAATCTTTCATATTTTGAAATTACTCTCCGAAATCTTCATCAGTCCCCCAAATCTTTAAGTATTTTGAAATTAGTCCCCCAAATATTTTATGTATTTTGAAATTTGTTCCCTAAATCTTTGCACAAGCTGCTAAATAGAAGGACTAATTTCAAGACATTTAAGATATTTGGGGGTCTGATTTCAAAATATAAAAATTTGGGGACTAATTTCAAAACACTTGGAAGATTTGGGGACTAACTTCAAAAAATCAAGATTTGGGGCACTAATTTCAAAATATGAACGGCTCGGGGTACTATATTGGTTTTTCTACTTCTCTTTATTCTTCTATTGCTCCTATATTAGCCTGTTCCTTGTCTTTTCTTCTATTCTCTACATTTCTCCTCTTTTCCTCCTCTTCATCATAAGCAATTCTTCTTCTCCTTTTTTTCTTTTTTTTTCCTTTTCTTCATCTGCTTCTCTGAGATGTTGTTACTTCATAGTATGGACTATTTATCGTTCTTTCTCCTATTCTTTTCTGTGATCCCTACTTCTGCCTACTGCTTCTTCCTTTTTTTGTCTTTTCCTGATCTCCATGCTTGCTCTCTAGAGCAATGCTGAGAAGACACTATTACAGAGACGCAGCTTCTCAGACACTGTTCAATTAGTCAAATTTCAAACCTCAAAAATAGTTAATTTTGTAACTTCAATATTTATAATTCATCAATAATGAATAAGTTAATGAAGTGATATGATTCATTTAAAATTTAAATTGACATTGTGTTCAAAATCCTTAAAAATATATAGTTGTGCCTCACTTTGATGAGGCACGTTCCTCATCATGCACTTTGCACCTCATAGCGGGTGTTAGGACCTTTGCCTCTCACTTTGAATTGGCTATGCAGACGCCAACAATAAGGATTAACATTGGGTTAATGACCAGCCGTATGCATTTGACAAATCTTTCTGAAAGTTTTTACTATGTAGTCAAATGAAATACTTTTACATGACACTAATGAAAAGGAGGATTTCACTACCATACTGTACTGTACAATGACATGAACAACTAGAACAATAGACATTCTCATGGTAATGAAAGGATAATTTATCTACTATAAAGTACAGAATAATGGCATGAATAATTACGGCTCTGCTGAAACTATGTGAAAGGAAACACGTTGAAAATGTTAAAACTCACTAAAACGCTCATATTGTTGCTCGAATGATATAATTCTTGGGGGTAGTAGGCCTCGCAGTCCTAGCCGATCCCTTTCTGTCAGGGGGAAACCCGTATCCTACCACAAGAGAAGAGATCAAAATATTAAATTCAAAGCAAAAAACAGCTGTTCTAAGACCCTATGTCACACACGTGGGAATAACATCAAACACCATAAATAATTACCTCCCCTCTTGGAAAAAATTTACCGATTTCCCCGGGAAAGTAAATAGTAAAATTAAACTCCATCACAGTTGCTAGCTTTGAAAATCTCAAGGCATGAAAGTAAAATTGAACACCACAAATAATTACAAGACTGTAGCAGAACATGATCCAAACTTATTAGATCTTAATCACAAACAAAAAACATATCCCTAAGCCCTCACATTACCAAAATTAACAGATCTATGAGAGAATCAAGCGAAAAAACCACTGCCTCCACCAAAACCCTAGAGGAACCCTAAAATTCACCCCCAAAATGTGGAGGAAAACAACAAAATGAAAGACCAAGCAAATACCTTGTTAAACCAAGGATCATGAAGAATATCAGTTCCTCGCTTGTGGACGATGCAAGGTCCAGGCATCGCAGCGGAGTATCGCCGCAGCTGACGAAGGTTGCAGGCCGCACGTGCGAGCTTCCACATTCCTCTCCTTCTAGAACCCCTCGGCACGTGCGAAGTTCCGCGGTGACGGAGGCCTTCGCTTTCGTCGTTTTATAGACGGGGTGATCTTCCGACAGTGGGGGAATGACTTGGAGAGTTGAGAGGTGGTCTGCTGACTCGCAAATAAGTTTAATACTGGTAATGGTTTTGGCAAGCGCAGCTTAAAGTGATCCGCGGGTTACTGAAACAAAGAAATGAGTGTTTTTGGATTGAAACTTGGAGGCGATTCGTCGGTCACAAGAAGAGGGCGAGTTGCAACGGGACGCGTGGATGGTTGAGATTGACGGAATTCTGTTTTGAGTTTAGATTTGGGTTTTTTTTTTGGTTCATTTCCTAAAAATATAGGAAATTTAATCCCATCCAAAACAAATCCTTTTGATTTGCATCTCCACATTTTTAATTTTTTATTTGGTTCAGCTAATAATAGGGAGAGTGACGCCACAAGGATCCCAAATAGGGGACCCGATGTGTCCCCCCTAAATGCATGATGTTAATTTACATCATGCATTCAGGGGCGATACCTCACCTGTCATGCATTCAGAGGGGGACACCTCATATGCCCCCCACCCCACCCCACCCCACCGCCCCCGGGCCCTCTATTTGGGGTCCTTGTAGCAGCACTCTAGGAAAGCATATCTTAAAATTTATATAGGCTCATATTCGTTCAGTTCCCAAAGAGATAGTAGAGAGTATTGAGATTGCATTAATGTGTAAGCTTTCTACCTAAAACCTCTCTAAAAATTAGGATTTGACAAATTTTAAAAATTAGTATTTTTATATTTTATAAAAATATCTTTTTTAACAAGCATAATATATAGAATCTTATTGTGCCAAAAGCACCATCTTTATTCTTAGAATTGTTTTCCAACTCCAAATCCTAAATTTTTTAATCAACCACACTGGCCATACCAAAATTAATGGGTCATGAAGATTTGTTTCAATGAACGCCTTTGTAAATTTAGGTACGGTAGTACTGTGATGTGGGTGTACTTCGACTTGATATTTACATAGACTAGCATTATTGCACCCAAATACATGTGCACTGGATCTGATACTTGACCATATCTGAATTTTATATAAATGAAAAATTTGAAATAAAATCTGATCGAGTTCTATAAGATATTCTTATAATATTCTCCATCATTTGAGAGGAGTTATTTTAATTATCTTATTTAAAATTTGCTATGACATATATTTCAATTTGAAATGCTGGCACGATTTTCATGAAAGGAAATAGGGTACATTGTAATTTGGTGGATTATTTTAAACCGTATATTAAGGACACTTTAGACGGTGTCAGTACAAAGAGTATTTTTCATATTTTATCTTCAACCTATTATATCTAATTTAATTATCTTTAACCCAAATATATAGATATATTTTGACTCTCAACAATATTTAGGTTAGAACAAATTGAAATTCTATTCATTGTATTTACATTCATTTGTATATAATAATCTATTTTAGAAAATAACACTATTATTTTATATTTATATCCCTTACACAGGAAATTTGTTATAGATATTTAATGAGTGAGCTCTAATTATATACTCATGGCATAGTTTAAAATGTTCTAGAAAAAAATATATTTTATTATATATATATATATATATATATATATAATATTTTTTATATATATATATATATATATATATTATATATATATATATATATATTATATATGGAAAGTGATTCCTAAGGGTGACGCTTTAAGAAATCATCTAAGGACACGCGTCTTAAAATCAATGAGTGCAGCTACATTTGTGGATCACCCATTACAGTTAAACTTGATCTACATGTTCTAAATACCCCAACACACCAAGTTTAGGATGAACCCGTGTTGTCTTTGACCATTCATCCATCGCTATCAATTTTTAACGGTTCGAATGAAGTAGAACTTTTCACATTGGCTCGAGGAAGCATCAAACGACGATGGGTTCACCCCAAACTTTGCCTGTATTGGGGTTTAGAATTATAGTAGATCAAAGTTTAACGGGAGTGGCATCATTCACAATGTAGCTCAATCAGTGATATTAGGTCTGCTGTCCTTCGATGATTATCTAAGCGGTCACCTTTAGCGAAACCTTTTCTCTAATATAATAATATATTATATATATATATTATAATATATATATATATATATATACTATATATATATGAGAAGTGTTGCCTACAGGTGACGGTCTATAGGTAGTCATCATAAATACGTGGCCTAAAATCACATGATTGAGCTACATTGTGGATGATTCGCTCCGTTGAACTTGATTTACATATTCTAAAACCTCAACACACAAAGTTTGGGGTGATTCCGTCATCGTTTGACCATTCATCCACTCGTATCAATTTTAATGGTTTCGAATGAATTGAACTTTTCACATGGCTCAACGGAGGGACAAACGATGACGGAATCACCCCAAACTTGGTGTGTTGGGGTTTTAGAAAATATAGATCAAGTTCAACGGAGCGGATCATTCACAATGTAGCTCAATCATGTGATTTTAGGCTACGTCCTTAGATGATTACCTAAGGCGTCACCTTAGGAACGCTTCTCTCTTATACTAAGGGAAAAGTGTTCCTAAGGTGATACCTTAGATAACCATCTAAGGACGCGGTCTAAAATCACATGATTGAGCTAAATATATATATATATATATATGGGAAAAGTGATTCTAAGGTGACACCTTAAATTCCCACCTAAGGACGCGGCCTAAAATCACACCATTCCCTAATTGTTTTTTCTGATCCGCTCCGTTGAACTTGATCTACACGTTCTTAAATCTAAACACACCAATTTTGGGGTGAGTCTGTCGTGTTTTGACCCTTCATCCACATGCCGTAATTTTAACGGTTTTGAATAAATAGAACTTTTTGCACGGCTCAACGAATGGTCAAAACACGACGGGTTCACCCCAAAATTGGTGTGTTTGGGTTTAATAACATGTAGATCAAGTTCAACGGAGCGGATCAAAAAAATAAAATAAGGAATGATGTGATATTAGACCGCGTTCTTAGGTGGGAATCTAAGGTGTCACCTTAGAATCACTTTTCCCTATGGGAGGGTAATCAAAAAATTATAATCAAAAATTTTATATGGGAGGGTAATCAAAAAATTGCCTATGTGTCCCTCGCATCTATACTACTATTAAAACCCCATATGAGGGCAATAAAAAAAATTCAAGGAATGGATGACTTTTCCCCTTTTTTGTTGTATTTGGGAGGGTATATTAGTAATTTCACACAAAATATTTCCCTCCTTTATTTTCTCTTCCATTGCTCTAGATGATTGTAAATTATCCTATGGGGTTAATTTCACGAAAACCCCTCAACTTTAGTGGTTGTTGAACATTACCTCCTTGAACTTTGTTTAATTCACTTAACCCCCTGAACTATGAAGTGTTTTACAAAACTCCCCTGAACTTTACCTAATCTCACATAGCTCTCTTACCTGTAATTAAAAAAACTAAAATTTTCTTTAGAAAAAAGCTTTAATTTTTGGGGGGAGGGAGTATATTGCATGTAAACGACAAGTGACGAAGTTTGATATTGTTTCCCCTAAAAGATATTTTTGTTATTTACAAATTACATGAAGCGGGGTTATGTGAAATAAGATAAAGTTTACGGGGTTTTTGTGAGACACCACATAGTTTGGAGGGGTTATGTGAGATAAACTACGTTTAAGGTGGCTATGTGCAACAATCCCCAAAGTTCAAGGGGGTCTTGTGAAATTAACCCTTATCCCATGCTGTGAAAATATTCTAGATTTTTTAAAATATTTAATTCCATGAATAAGAATGAAGCTCATTAACTAAATATTCGATATATTTAGGTTAAAAGATATAGAGGGCGTTTGAGAAGACTTGTTTTTTGAAGCTTACAAGTTATGCTAGTTTTTAGCGACTCTTGGCCTTTATGAAAAAAATATTACAAGAATTGTTTACTAGTATAATAACTTGTTTGATCAAATCTAACTTATTTTAGATGAGCATATAAGTTAGTTTTTCGAAAGCATAGGTATATTGCTGTTTTAAAATATGACATATAAGCCAACGTATTTAAGGTCGATTGAATGCATAGGCCACTAAGACATATGCCTAGGGCCCCCATTTTATCGGGGCCCCCAATAAATTATTATATATATATATATATTATATATATTATATATATATATATATATATTATATATATATATATATATTATATATATATTATATAATATATTATATAATATAATATATATATATGGCAGAAAAATAGCAAAACTTCGCGTAACCAATTGCCTCCAAACAACTTGATTAGCTGATGTACCTAATCTTGTCCTACATCTACACTTTGAGTTGAGTGTCAAGGGTCTGGTTAATGCTCTATACTGTTGAGGTATGATACAGGGGTAAGCATTAGCCACATCACTACCAAGTTGCTTTAAGCATACTTGGTACCAAGCGTTCTTCCATTTCTCTCTCTTCTCTCTCTTCTCTCTTCTCTCTTTAGAATATATATATAATATATATATATATATATATATATAATAATTATATAATATATAATATATATATAATATTATATATAATATATATATATATATATATATATGATATATTATATTATATATAATTATTAATTTATTTTGGAAATATAAGAAGTTGACTATTGTTAGGATTCTAAGTTAACTTTAATTGATCATTTATTGCTATAATTATCTATAATTATCTTTATCTTTGGAAAAGAACACTAATAAAGTTTAATTGTAAATTTTTATATTTTATTTCTATAATTAATTAGATTGTAGCGCTAAAAGAAGAGAAAAGTACATATTAAATACTCATTCTCATTTATGCGTTTTTTCTCTTGCTAACTTCCTTTATTCTCTTCTCATTCACTCATCTTTCATATTTGTTTAATCTTTGATACTCAACATACATAATTGTAATTCTAATCCAGAAGGCCCCAAAATAAAAGGTAAGGTTGTTGGTTTTTATTTTAATTAATTTACATTCATTCTCCTTGTATATATATATATATATATATATGAATTCATTATGCATTTATTTTATTGTTCTTATATATATATCTATATCTATTACTGAAAACTCTTACCCTTGCACACGTCACTTGGTAATTTCTTTTTTTAAATTTCTTTAAAAAAAATCTTTTTAATAT